CCCAACCCCAACCCAAACCCAACCCAAACCCAACAATAGTTACACTATAATTACAAGTTTCGTCTCTACTGTAAATATCTTATATCTAAAAATGCTTACATCTTAAATCAATAATCTTTCAAATATTACTATTAATTAAATCCAACACCATTAACTTCACTTTAAATACTTGGAATTACTCTTATCATATCATTAGAAGGAGAGTGGATATAACCCTTACTTGTCAATATTATTTTTTTTAAATTAAATAAATAATTGTTCAATTTTTTTTCAAAACTATTTAATTTATATAATTTATACCTTATTATAATTATAATAATGATGATTTATTCTTTATTTAAAATGAATGTAATCCACAAAAGAGATCATAGAACAGTTTAATATCATTCAATTTATAAATTTCTAAATAAAACATGCACAAAAAACTTACAACTAAAGAGTTTTATTCAAAAATTTATCATTATTTATAAATAAAAAGTTACAGTTTAAAACTCAGCTTCAGTTTATAAGAAATTATAAGGTTTTAAGCTTTTTAGTATAGCTAATAATTACCAAAAAGCCGAATAAGAAAAGTTTGATCAATTTAAGATGCTCTCTCAAGTACTAACTTCTAGTATAATTAAAGAGGCAATATTTGAACTAATACTTGATGTATAATATTCATTTGCATATTAATAATTGTAGATATCATAGCCCAAATTAGTAATTTACTTAATGCTATTAGAGAAATTGGTAAGGCTTTTTGATGAATATAAATTATAAAATTATTAATTGATAACCTGATGTTCCAGGAAATACTAATAATTCTATAACCAGCTGAAATTAAACAAGTTGCCATTTTTCCAAATGAATTAAGGTTGTGACAATATAATCAGCTGTTAATTTTTTAATTTTAGGGCCATATTCTACAATACAGTTGCAAGTGTTTCGATAGTTAATTAATCCTCCAAAGATGTTGGCATTCTTTTTAGTGAAAAATTTATCTTGTGGTTGGATCAAAATGAACTCTTTTATAATATTCAATTAAGATTGGATGATCTGGCTAATTAATATATAATCAAGCCCTGCAGTTGTAACCTAATAGTGAAGTTTGTGAATTTTTTTTGTAACAAATGATTCATATAATCACCTGCATTATATTTTTTTAGCTCTTGTAATAATTTTGTTAAAAATTAATGATTATATTATTGGCTTACATCAACAAACCTTCATTACCCTGAAGCTACAAATTTAGAGGATGATTTTATAGTAGTGATTTGAACGATTGTTGCTTATAAAGCTTTCTAAGAACAAATAAATACTATATCAAAAAAAAAATTATCGGTTAAGCTTTACTTCAATTATTTACAAATAGCTTAAAGATCGTAAATAGAATATTAAATATTGATTAGATTGCTTAAAAGCCTTGGCCTTTTATGCTTTAATAATAGAGAATCGCTATTTGAAAGGAATTTTTAATATGGCAACAAGTAATTTAGTAGCTCTTCTTAATAAAAAATCAATATCTTAAAATATTAATACGAGTGTTGAATTCTAAAGAGTAAAAAACCTCAGAGAATGTGGATTTAAATGTACGGCTGATTTTACAAAATAATTATACTTAATATGACTTACATATAGGTAAAGATGGTGGCTGTGAAGCTACACAAAAAGCATTACATAAAAACGCTTTTAGACCTTTTATTTTGATTCTACAATTACTTATGGGCATTTTAATAGGAAGGCTGTATTTATGATCCTATTTTGTATAATCATTATAAATTTAGACAATTAAATTTATTTACAAGCCTGAGTGTGATGAGGATTCTAAATCTGCAAAATATGTTTCTGTTTTTGTTAGTCTTCATCTAAAGTCATAAAAAATCTGTAAATGGTTCTGAAGAATATCAAAAAAACAAAAGATTCTTATTTCAGTAAAATAGTCAGGTTATTATAAAAATAATCAATTTCGTCAGTGTTTTATTGAAGTATAGGTGATTTTCATGTATAAAAATGTTGATATGAATAAGCCAGTAATAAATTCTGTTAATATTCACGAATGGTTCCTTTATAGTCTTCTACTACAATAATTAAAATGTCTAATATATATTTATAACCCTAATTTATTTTCATCTTGTTGAATGATAAATAGTTATTTGATATCTCGCTGCACAGTAACTGAATAACTCAATTCCAGTATTCTGATAATTATACCATGGGATATTTTCTTCAATTCTGTTTTCAAGTTCTATCTACCAAGTTTCGCAAATAAAATCTGAATTCTTAACTAATCTGGATTGACTAATGCAGTTTATTAGAGGAAGCATGATTATATTATACAATGATAATAATTCCCTTTTTAGATATGATTTATAATGATATAAACATTTAATTGAATACTTTTTAAAAATGACAGTTTATCCCATTATTTTTACTTTTTCAGAATTTGACATCAATATTTACCTCAAATTTCTTGTAATTATCATGAAATGGAAATATATTTAAATTCTTCTGATAATCTTAAATTAAATATCTTGATAATTTAAAAAAAAAACAAATATATTTTATTAAACTCAGAGGTTTTAAAAATTAGAGATTCCATAGTATCTAAGAGGGGTAGTGTAAGGAAATACTTGCAACCTCATAATTACTACTATTTGAGACCATTATTAGAGAAGTAAATCAAAAAAATATTTCATTAGTAAATAAATGTTTAGTCGTATAAATTTATTTCAATATTCTTAAAATGGATTTAATTTAAAACTAAGGTAGATTCATGATTTGATATAGTAGAATAAAAATAGACATAAAGGAAAAAGAGTTAAAGGACTTATGAAGTGTTTGGCTATGGTGTTGGAAGAAAATACAAAAAAATTTCATTTGAGTACTCATTAATAGTTTGAATTCTATGAGATATCTAATTTGAAGAAGGCCTCAAAAGATATATGCTTCAACTTTTACTTAAATCACTACTGCTGCTCCTTAGTTGTATCCTGTGAATCATTTAATACAAATAACGGTTAAGAGGAATAGTTATTATTTTATGAATAACTGATAATTGAAGTGATTGCAAAGTAATCCTATTCTTTATTTTCAGCAGATTTGATAATTCTCAAGTATCCTAAGAAGGCAGAAATATTAGATTTTTTACTGCCAAAATTATATTTTAAGTTACTTTAACAATAAATTTGTATATCCAATACATTCTAAATGACTATTGATTTTTTTAAAAAAAAAAAACCCTTCTATATATGAAAATTAAGATGAGTCATGAGATTGATTACTACTACAACTTTAATCAATTTAAATAAATTTAATTTCTCCAGTTCAAGTAAAACACTAGCGAAATCATAAAATATATTGTGATTAATTTTGTTTTTAGAAAATTTCCCTTATATAGTTTCGAAAAAATTCTGAACTAAGGAGGAGGTTGTTGTTTAAAGCTATGATTGCCTTACTAAGTAGATAGACATTTTGATAGAGAAACATTATGAATTATTCGCTCAAAATTGACAACAATTTTAGGAGCATCATTTATAAATTTAATTTAATATATTTAATACATCATTAAATCTATGTGTTTATTTTATCTATTTTTTCTCTTTCTATCTCGTTTGTACCATATAATTATATATTCCATTCTATAGTCACTATTTAAATATTCTCCTGCATATTCTTTACATTTGACATTTGAAAACCGCCATTAGTCAAAATAGCAAAAATTTGGTATTTTTCTAATACTATTTGTAAATATTTTTAGATATTCTGATATTGCAATATATATTGAATTAGAACAAGGATTTAATGTGTTATTTTTTTGTTCATTCTGGTTTAAACTGGATCTTATTATTGGTTCTCCTTTGAAATTCTTTCTTGCTTTTGTTGAGAACTTTTTCAGCTGATTATTTGATGGGATTTGCACTACAGAGTTGGCTTGCAAACTAGTTTTATTGTTCATCTAATTCTGTCGATATCTTTTTCATTATCCATTGTTCCTTTTCATTATTGCTATTTTATATTTACTTCTTGTATTTTTACCCAGCTTTCTCTTTGCATTATCCTTTGTTATCTGTCTAGTGCTACTATTTCCTGTGTCCAAATTTTCACTCTGATTACTTCTTCATCTTGTCTAGATAAGTCTAATAAATATCTCTCCTATCAAAATTTGGACATATTCACATATGGTTATGAATATCCTTCAGGCTTAAAAATATAAGCACCTAATAAGAATAATAGAGATTATAATTAACTTTAAATTTATTGAATATTTTAGTATCTCTATCACTGAGAATGTTTCAAGTTTTATTTTTTTAATTTTGTATCATTCTTCGATTTCACGTAAACACTTAAAATCACATACCCATTAAGGTCCATTTTTTAACTAAATATTAACTATCCTTTCCTCTATTTTATCCTGTCATTATTGTATATTTTAAGAATTTCTTGCAGGTTTTGATCTTATCCTCTAAATCATCAGGTAAAAATTTTTACCTTTCTACCATTCTGATTCTGATGTTACATCTAAATCCTCTAAAAGGCTTTTAATCAAAACTTTCATACTTTTCTGTATCGATAATTTATTCTATTTTGGTAAAAATATGAAAAATTTTGCTCTTTTAGTTATAAGTATATATATATATTTCCATTCTAAATTTTACATCAACGCTTAACTTTAATTCTTGAATAATATTCTGCTGCTAATATTCTAGATAGTTAGATAGTTTAAACTTCTAAAAGTTATAGTTTTTCAAGTAATTCTTAATTCCAACATAATAATCTATAACGGGGGGAGGAATGTTGATTTCCAGGCACATCTACCTTAAGTGGAATCAATCTATTGATATTCACATCGTTATCTTTGACTCTCGAAACCAGTATAAAGAGGATCACAATCATCATCACCACTAATTTTAATACCATATCTTAGATATTACATAAATGCATATACCGTAAATTCGATTTCTGCTTAGTACATTTTGGATAAAAACTCTCTTTTGGAATAAGATAAGTTTTCTTTTTAAAATATTATAGAATATGCTAATAAAATACTTAATTTTATATCATTTTGGTTTCCTATAATACTTATCACTCTCTATTTTAATATTTCAAATGGGGTAAATTAAAGAAAATTAGAACTAGAAAAATGATTTAATTCTTAAAATATGAATGAGTGAAAAACATCCAACCTAAAATAATCTATTGAATATTTTATTTTTAAATCATCATATGTAATTAAATAAATGAAATGCTTTCTCTCTTCTTTTCAATTTAAGAATATTATAAATCTGTGGATAATTTTGAATTAAATTAATCTTCAATTTCCAAGGTTGCATTATAATTTATTTATAAAAGTTTGATCCTTATTAATTTACTCTAAAATAATTAAATTAATTCCTTTATGTAATTAATTTGATTAATCTTTTAATTTTTAAGTAAATGAATTTAACGAAAAGTGAAGCTTCTAATAAATAATCATTAGGTAATTAAATTTTGTATTTATATAATTCTTTTTTAGTTTTATATATGATTTACAAAATTAAATTTTTACATTTCTAACAAATCTTCGTTATGTCCTTTATTAATTTTCTTTGATTATAATAAGATTATCAAGTTAAAATTCTTCTGATGCTTAAAGATACTCTTTACATTTATTTTTATATCATTTTAACTGTGGCAGTAGCAGAAGCTATTAAATCTAATTTTAAGTAAAGAATTATTTTATTTGATTATAGATCTTTAGCATATTAGTGGGCTATTACATTACTGAAATAAGATTATAGATTATATATAAATGAATTTAAAACTAGAATGAAAAATAAAGCAAGAAGACCTGTAAAAGAAGAAATCAAAGATAAGAAAACCCACCTTGCTATTTTGTCGAATATAATATTAAATAATATCATTTATAGGAATTTGTATCAGAATTTATTTAAATTGTCCAAAATTTTCAAATAATATATCATTTTGTATAGCTTTAGCCAAATAAATTTAATAAATCATTATCTTTTGACATATTGTAGCTGAGTATTCAATAAACTTTTTGGTGTTAATCTTTTAGCTGCTCCTATTCTCTATATCTAGCAATCCATTCTTTTATCTTCAATTATTGTGAAGTAATGATTCCTCTTGCAATCA